CCCCCCCCCCTTCCCCCCCCCTTTCCTTATCTCCAAAATACATCGATGCACGAACGAATATTTCAGATTTCATGCCCACCGAGCGAACAGACAGCTTCTTTCGAATCCCCAAAACCCAAAACCACACCCAAACCGAGCACCCGGTTGATAAAGTATCCCTCTGGGCCTAATATTTGCATGCACGCACTCTACCACCGCCCCCTAGCGGAACGCCCTAGCCAGCACCAACGTCTTCACCGTCTACATGGGCGCGACCGTTGCTCGGCTTTGAATTATGACCACACAAAACCCAGGGAAAACAAAACCCAGATTGCGAAAGCACACACGGGAAAAATATTCGGAACACAAATATGCAGAAAAAAAGTATGTATTTAATATCGTTGTTATTATTCCTCCTCTCTTCTTGACCCCGGTGGCCGACTTTTTGAACACGTCACAAACACACAAGAAACCACAGACAGCAACACACAGAGCCGAGTGAGTGTTGGCACTGGTGCAGCTGTAACGCACCCCAACACCGGGTGCACGACACAACATGAAACGGGGGGGGGGTAACACGCACGATCGTGCGCGAGGGGGGGAAGGGGGGGGAGGCTGCGAGCCAGTCAGCAAAAAAAACGTTACACGCACGTAATCTGGCCTCATGGGAAGCAAGGTCCCCGACTAAGGGCATATCAGTCCTCTTCTCGACCTCTTGCGGTGCAATGTGCGCCGAGTCGTCTCTAGCTAAGTGAGCTGGGTTTTTCCAACACAGACGACGATAGCAAGCATCAAATTTCGCGGGGTGCGCGGCACCATGCATTACCATCTTCGCACAACCGAAGAAAGTGGTTCTACTCCCCCCCTCAGCCTCCTCCCTCCCCCCCGCAAGCGAAACAAGCAATAGCGATGCTCTTCGATACATAAAAACTATTCATCATTTTTGTAGGTGTTCATGGCAAGGAAAAGCAAAAAGTAACATTCGAACTGACTCAACTATCCCAGTCCATCGACGCAAGGCGTGGCCACGGGCGGCAAGCTGGGAAGCCACGAAAAAACAGCACAGCCTCAGCGCCGTTTCCTTCGCAGACAGCCCCCTTTGGCCAACATGCACACTTTCTGACTGTGAGCGTAAACAAGTACGACAACGAACGAGCAACTGAGGGTATGGAGTATACGTACGCATCATACACGGGTTGGGGGCCCTGCTCCCCAAGACCCGAAACGCCCCCATACGAAAAGACGATCCAGGTATCTACGGCCTCCTCGCCACGGCGGTAGACGTGCAGACCGCTCGGCAGCACAGCGGCATCGAGCATCCCAATCGATCTATCTACCCTTCGCTTGACCCTTGCAGCCAGCTGCACATCACACAAGCCACACACCTACTTCCCCCGCCGATAACAATCATGGGGCAGCAACAGAGCCCAAAACATGCGTTGTTCTCATCCCCTCCTCTCTTTCCTCTCTACCCCCTGGCCCCAGTTTACTTTAACACGCATCAACTGGATTCGTCAGACAAGCTCACTGCTGTCTCTCTCAAAACAGACGGACCATGAAAGATACACAACACACGACCACGTCAAGCCCCCCCTCCACCCCCCTCCCCGTCCCCCGCTCCCAGGCCCCCTCCACAGCTCTGGCCGTAAATCAAGCGACGACAAATATTCTACAACGTATACACCGAGAGCACAGCTTCTCGCATGATTCTCCTCTCCGACATCATTGTATATTTACTCTTCTTTTCCCCGACGCAACAGATCTCCCCTCCCCCTCGCTGCCACCCCCTACTCATTTCGCTTCATTTCGCGGTAGGTACCCCCCACCGCCAAGGCGGCCAAGGAGGGCAAACAAGCCATCTACACTCGAAACAAGAACGCACGCTAGACAAAGAGCGGGAGACTAACTTGGGCGCGGGGGGGG